CGCCTCACCTAGAGGTGTAAAGGGGCCGCCCTTCACGCAAAATGCGAGCCATGCCGTGCTGGTTTGGGGGCTGTCATGGATCGTGCCACCCTCTCCAATTTATTGTTTGGGGGTCGGCCTAACACGGCTCACGGTCCAAGCCTGTGCGAACCCATGTCGAGTCCAAGTCGAGCTATGGATTGAGTCAAATTTATTTTTGCTTATTTATTTAAGAAAATTGGAAAAAATTTAAAATTTTAATTTTATATGAATTTTGATGTACACAATTGTTTATATATACAATAATTAAATAAATTAGTATAATAAAATTGAAAATAATTGTTTATTTTATTAATATATTATATACTATATATTATTATATAATTATAATTTATATAATATATTATATATTATATATAAACATATAAAATATATATAAATAGTATATATGTGTCGTGCTGGGCCATGCCAGGCTAGGCTAGGCCACAGACTTAAAACTCTAGGCCTAGCATGGGATGGATCATCGTGTCGGACTTGGCACAACCCATATGCCATCATGTCGGGCCAGGCCACGAGCGGTACGACCCGATTTACACCTCTATGCCTCACCACAGTTGTTGTACTTTTAAAAACATCTCCCATATTTACATGTTCCCTTTCATTCAAAACCAAAGCTTCTGCATTCCCCCATCTCATAGTGTCAATCCAACCTCTTCTCTTCAATGTTATTATCCTCCTTAAAAAAAGAAAATAATGAAAAAGAAAACATCTTCAATGGGCCATGGTTCAAACCGGCCTAAAACCAAAGTCCAAACCACTATCATTTAGGCTGTGTTTGGTGTGTCTTTTCACACAGTCTTTTGGCTGTTTATAAGTCAGAAAATCGATTTTCGGTTTGGCACGCGGAAGATCTAATCATCAAAAGACGGAACGTCGAAAAAACACGAAAAGCCTAGTTTAGGCTGATTCTGGAAACCTCTAAATAAAATTTCTCGCGTCTTTCATGTTTTATTCTCAAACAAAAAGACACACGGAAAGACGCACATTGTCAAACATACTTCGGGCTATTCAAATCTTCATGCAAAAACTCAATGCATCCTTTAACGGTTAGAATTACCCGGAGATCATCTAAAAAATACACGCCAAACGGACTCTTATTTTACTACCGTAGACGCCAATCCCTCTCTCTCTCGTGTCACTATTTCCAGTGAAACACCAACGGACTATGGTTTTTTCCGGCCTATTAGTCAACATTCACCGGTTAGAACGAATCGTTTGACCCAGATGCCAGATGGCAACCCTCAACAAACACGTCACACTTATAGAAAAGATGGTTCGATCTCCGGTTCAGATAAACATTACGCTGCATTTCAAAAAGTCAAAAACCCTGTGGCGTACTGGCGCGTTGTTCTGTTTGTATCAGAGTAAAGAGGGTAGGGGCCCACGCGTTATCAAGAGTTATTATGACATCGACGACAACTTCAACGGTTCAACCCACAAAATACGATCATGGATCACCTCTTTTTTTCTTCCGACACATACACATTATCAACGGCTGTAATTTCAGATTTCTGAGGGGAGGGGGAGTACAGCCTACTTACCATTCAGTTCACCCCTAAGTAGAACTACTAATAGATTAGGGTAGACCGATTCCTATCCGTGAACTGATGTCAAATTCACGGATAGGATGCGGTTTATAGAAAAGTACTAGTAGACAGAGGCTGCAAATTAAATTTCGGGGAGTGCTGTCCAAAAATCTCTAAATTTAAAAAAATAAAAAAATGGTCGACTGGTCGGGACTAGAAAATATGCGAGGAATCGTATTGTATTTTGGATGCACGCTCCGTGGGGCCCTCTACCCTCTAGTGTCATAATCATTCTGGTCAATCAGGTCCCACCATCCCCATCATCATTCTGGTCATGTGATGGGTTTGATCTCATCATTGGTGAATCAGGCGGTTAGCCCATTAACTCGGTCGAAAGTCTGAGAAGAAGGTTTGAACACTGGTTCAACTGACTGGTCGGGACTCGAAAATACGCCTTGGGTCACCGCTCCCTGGTTCAACTGCCTGGGCTAACAAGGGTTTGAACACACCGAGAGTCTGAGAAGAAGGTGAAGAAATAAAATAATGGATTCCCATTAACTGTTATTATTAAATCCAATATAAAAGTATATATTTTAAAAAGTGGATCTTTGTGGGAATCCAAGCCCATTAAAATATAGATACCATGTAAGGTCGAATCTGGAATGGGGCCCACTCGATTTCAAGCCCTAAGCAACAAGGTTGTGATTACTGATTCCCCCGTTGACGCTTCTCACCAGTGAATTAATAAATAAATGTTGGGTTCATTTAATTTGTAGGGCTGTGAGTGGGCCTTTAATATGGTCCATTGAATTTAGTCCAAAACTCCATGTACGTGTTTGGTTAGGAAAAAGCGATTTTCAACAAATATTCTACAAATTCAACGGACAGCAACCCCTCTTTCAGTCAGCTACAAGTTCTGATTCCTCATTTACAAACAATCCATTGTTGGGCAGTGTTCGTTTGTATGGCTATATTCTATTAATACTTCAATGGGCTTAACACAGGCTGGCCCACTAGGTACAACAAGTTGGGTTGGGTTTAGAAAAAAAAAAATTCAACCAAGTTCTTGGTTTTTTGCAAATAATCTTACCATAATTTGTCATAGGGTTCATTCAAAACCTATTCCTAGCACAATTATTAATTATAGCCCATAACATAAGTATCATTATTGGGTTGAGTTGAGGATTCATGATGATTCCTGCACAGCCACAGATCTTAAGCCCACGAATCAATCCCATTTGACACTAATTAAATGATGGACCCCCTTTTGTTGACTAATCGCATAAAGCATTAAACCATGCATAACGAGTCAAAATTAACCCTACAAAGTGCATTTCAAAAGTAAGGATAACGGAGTGGATGCGTGGAGCTTGCCACGTCAGGTGAGAATGAATGATATAGACAAAAAATTTAACCTTTTGCCACGTAAGCTGCCACTTGTAATAGTCAATGGGCCATTTCTCATTTCATCTCTATCCTCTCGCTAGGAATCAAATCCTTGCACTCAATCTTATCTTCTTGTTGCAAAGAACGAGAAAGGAAATGAAATCGTTATTTCCCTATCATACAAAAAACCTCCCTTCAATTTTCTGACAATCATAAAAATCTCCCCTATAATTTCATTTTATAAAAAATCTCCCCTCTTCCTCGTTACAGGTTCTCTAAAGATTTATTTATTTGGATGTTTATTTTTCAAGTCATTCAACTGTTTCAATAGCTTCTAGCTTCAGATTCCACAATGATGCCATTTCAGACTTTTGCAGCTTCAAATCCCCTCTCCATGCCATGTCAGGCATCTCTTCCTCTTCTCTCTCCAACTTTAATGGCTGAAATGGCAAAACCTGAGAAGACCAAAACCAAGAAGATTAACTCCTATTTCCCGTTTTGCTTTAGGTTCAAAGGTCGAGTCTTCGGCCCCAACTGACATGAAACCTAACAGTAGTGATGGTGGTCAAAGAAGAAAGTGCTGGCTCTCCTGGTCAAGTCGCTCATTAGCTTCAACTTTCTTCAGACATTATTATTGTCTGATCTCTCCATTATCTAATCTAACCATCTTACCTTGAATCTGAAAAAGGCAAGCAGCCAGGATGAGAGCAGTGTCGATGCTCTTTAATGGCAGCCTCGTATTGGCGGTGAATTAGTTGCTTAATTCCCCCCGAGACCAGCGTAGAGAAGCTTATTTTCCTTTTATTCGCCCGCTTGTCCAAACTATCAACAACTAAAGAGGAGCATCAAGCATCCCCATCAACATTCTCGAACCGCAAGGCGTATGCATTTTGTATGGACGTCCTCTACGTTACCAAGTCCAATATCCAGGTTATAATGGAGCTATGATGGTGATATAAAGCACTAACAAGAGAAGGGGGAAGAAGACGGAGATGAGGGAGGGTGCAAATACACGTATGGTTGGAAGCCTAGAGATGAGGGAGGGTGCTTCACTAAAGACCACGTTATGTTTTTCGTGAGGAGCATCGACGGGAAAAATTTTGGTGGCGATGGGTTTCTTCATTGGGAATGCATGAAATGGTAAAAGGGTAAAACGTATTTCGTGAGCAGCATCGATCGGAAAGATTTTGGTGGCGCTGGGTTTCTTCATTCAGAACGCATGAAATTAGGGCTGTTCACGGGTCGGGTTGGGTTGGTTTACTGACATTTTTCCAACCGACCCGATCTGGTCGGTTTACCTAGAAATGAAATCGAAACCGACCCAGTACTAAGTAAAACCGACCTTATCGGTTTGAATCGGGTTGGGTCAGTTTGGATCGGTTTTGTGAATGATTCTTTTGGTACGGTAAAGGATTCTAAGTCTAAGAAAACAAAGACTGGATGCCTGAAAATTAAAAATGATTTGATGGATTAAAATCGATATTTTATATATAATATGTATATTTCTAAAATAAAACTGAAATATATCAGATATATATCTATATATATATATATATATATATATATAATATCTGAAATATATTATATATAATATATCTAAATCGGTTCGGATCGGTTCGGTTTCGGTTTTCACACATGAAAACTAAAACTGAACTGAATCATCAGTTTATGTTTTTAGTAACCCAAAATCGACCGGTGCTGAAAAAAAACCGGCTAACTCGGATTAGATCAGACTGGATTGGTCGGTTTGGGTCTTGTTATGAACCGCCCTACATGAAATGGTAAATGAATATTAAAAAATAATATATCAATTAACCGTTTTTCGTCTAACATATTAACGGAAGGAAGGTTTTTATGATCGTCAGAAACTTGAAGGAAGGTTTTTATATTTTACCCAAAACTTAAAAACCTTAACAAGGATTTCGGTAGAATATCTTGATGTATCTTTTATTTTTGACTCCCGTGCCTGACCGTGAGTTCACAAAATCCGTCGTTTTTGGAAAGCTTTGAAGTGAGCGACGAAACGCAAAAGAAAACAGAAACGACCCTAGAAAATAGTTCAATGAAAGAAAGCAAACAAACGAAACCTCTCAGAAAAACCCTCTTCCTTTTCTTCTCCACTCCTTTCCCTCCAGATTCTCTGCATCAAAAGGGTCCAGACTCCAGATAACTATCTCTCAATAATGTCGTCTTAAATCTTCTTTTCTATTTATTTCTTTTTTCTATTTCTTCTCTCCCCAAATCTTCCCCTTTTTTCAGAAATCGAATAAAGGAGTGGTTCACGTCATCTCTGCTGCTTTTATCTCCATCTTTCTTCCTATAAATACTCTCCCGGAATCCCCATTTGATATCTGTGTTTATCTCTCTATCTCCTTCGCCTCCCATTTCGAAGTCGAAGGTTCCTCACCAAACATCCATGGAGGTTGGCATTTGACGAAGCGATCTCTGTTTTGTTTCTTTTGCTATCTATTATTATTCCAGACAGATAAGAGGAGTCTAATCGAAACCCTAGATTGCATTTAAGTTCGTTGCCTATATCTAGCGATATGGCGATTGCTTTTCCTCCTCGTATCGTCTGCTCTGAGAAATCAACGATAGAGAAAGCCGTCATGGTGTCGCCTTCATCTCCTGTTCCTCCGGTCATTTTGACTCAAGATGAGCTGAAGAAAATTGCTGCATATAAAGCCGTCGAGTATGTCGAGTCCGGGATGGTTCTGGGGTTGGGAACAGGTTCGACAGCTTGGTTTGCCGTGAACCGGATAGGCGAGCTTCTGCAACAGGGGAAGCTCAAGAACATTGTGGGGATACCCACTTCGAAGAAAACGCACGAGCAGGCGCTTTCGTTGGGAATACCTCTCTCCGACCTTGATAAGCATCCGGTGCTTGATCTTGCGATTGACGGTGCCGACGAGGTGGATCCCTATCTCAATCTCGTTAAGGGCCGAGGTGGGTCTTTGCTCAGGGAGAAGATGGTCGAAGGCGCATGCCGGAAGTTCGTTGTTATCGTCGATGAGTCGAAGCTAGTTGATCATTTGGGAGGTAGCGGTCTTGCCATGCCGGTTGAGATTGTTCCCTTTTGCTGGAAATTCACAGCCTACCGGTTGCAGAGGTTGTTTGAGTACGCCGGTTGTGTCGCCAAGCTCAGGACATGTGGGGAAAACGGCGAGCCCGTCGTCACGGACAATGCGAACTATATCGTGGATTTGTATTTTAAGAAAGATATTGGGGATTTGAAGGTTGCTAGCGATTCAATTCTGCGACTTGCGGGTGTTGTCGAGCATGGAATGTTTCTTGACATGGCCACCACTGTTATCATCGCCGGCGAGCTTGGAGTCACCGTGAAGAACAAATAGATGCTTTGAAGAGGGGCCTAGGTAGTTTTACTGATCACAATCTTAGAGGTTAGCTAACTTATATATGAATCTTCAGAAAGTTTGTTGTTGCGAATTACTGTAATGGGAGGAAGGTGTTATTTTTCCCAGTATCAATCGAAATAAGTACTGGACTGTGAGACCTACTTGGTTGACAATGTTGAGGAGTTGGAGGTCTCCTTAAATGGTGGGAAGACCAATCTTTCTATGTTCTAGCCGTCTTCTCTTCACCAGAATTTTTGACTGGTAGGATGTTCCTATTCTTTTTGCTGATTATAAGATGGAACGGATTTTTCAGTCTGTTTTGTCTCTCTTTTGCTTTCAGTCTTTCTATTACTTGATACCATGGATTTGTAACACTGTAACTAAAAAAAATCATTGTTCTGCTGAAACTAGCAGATTGTTGCAGCATCTTAACCTTATGAATTGTTATGGGTTCATAGGATTTACTTGACAAAAGGCTATTCCTTTGGTTTTTTTTCTCCTTAAATTAAATTTACTTCCAAACAAACAAGAACTACTTATTCTTGGGAATTGTCAGAATGTATGCATCTCCTTTATAATTAAAATATTCTTTGTCAGTTTCGTTGAAGCATTAAAATGATATGCTCTTCATTGCTTTCTCTGCTTGTGAATATGTTTGTATGTTTCAAACTGATTTTCGTTCTATTTGTTTTCTTGGTTCGATTCTGCTTGGTTCTTACACTTGTTAATTTGTTGTGAAAGTAATATTTCATGGGAAGGAAGGACTGTGCCCTGTGGGTGTTTTTCATAATTCTCAATTGCAGTGCTAATTTTCTCATGAGCTTGGAGTCATCGTTCTGGAGGCATAGTGGGATCCATTGAAAAAACATACTACAGGAAAAAAGTTGAGCATGGTTTTTCATGGGTCCCACCTTGTCTGTAGGGCGCAGAAATCCAAGAGTTGCACAGACTTGCTATTTTACAAGCATTCCCCCCCACCCCAATTTCATAACTTGTTTGGTATGGATTCTATTCTATAAAGCAGTCATTGTAGTGATCTTTCTAGGGTAAGTGACATGCAACATACTGTCAATATGCCTGTTTTAATAATCTGACTTCCTTTTTGAAGGTTATGGGTTCTTTGCGTAGAAACATATGTTGATATCACTCTGGATCTTATTCCCTTGTCATGCTGACACTTCAGAACAGAGTTCATGAGTTGTAACCATGTCAGACACTTCCTAACTCTGTAAATTTCTCATCCAAAACCAGAACAAAAGGGGTCTAGTAAGTACTTACGAATTTACTACAACCATGGGGTAGTATGTTTATCTGAGTTTATGACACCCTTCCTCACTCCAAATCCATCATGAATTTTAGGGTGTATTCCGCTTGATGATCAAATGTTGATATTGGTTTCTAGTTAAACTTTCTCAACAGAAAGCACATCTCAGTTCTCTCAAAGCAGTGATTTTTCCTTGTTTACTGCTCCAGCTATGTAACGCTATACAGTTTATGGTAATAATGAACTTATACTTTGTTTGAAACCTAGAGTTCTGCCTGAATGTATGCTCTTACACAATAATAAGATATTGCCAATTGAGTGCTCTTGCACTAGTGATTTGGTCTTGCGACTATTTGCCCACACTCTTTAGAATTAATTCAAATATAAATTTACTGCTAATATAACATGCAATATTGAAACATTTGTTTGTTATCCATCAAAGAAAAAACATTTGTTTATTATCCATAAAAGAAACATTTGTTTGTCATCATGATCTTATTCTTCTTCTTCCATGTTTATAATCTGCAGAATGCAATTTTGTGTCAATGTGATAAAATTTGCAGCGGTCAAAGTTCCTTCTCCCTTCAAACCAGGAACTGCAGCTCTCTTTTATTTCATCCATCAAACAATCCAAACCCTCACCCAAGCCTTTATATTTCCTCTAACCCACACCTCACCCAGACTCTTCTTCCTTCTCTAATAAGCCATCTACCCCACAGGCTTTTCTTTTACAGTTTTTAGGCCTTTAGCAAACCCCTCAAAGCCTTCCTTATCTTAACACTTGTTGGAAGAACAATAAATGATGGGGGAGATTTTGAATCTTCCTTTACTGGTGCTACGTCTGTATTTTTTATCAACAAGATTTTGAATCTTGGGAATCTCAATAGTTATTCATGCTAAAAGAAAATCTCCTAATTTTGTCATGGACTCATGGGGACCATGAGTTTGATTTCTTATAATCCTATTTATTGATTGGAGACATTTGCCGCCATCGTCCATTTTCTCTCATCTTTTCTTTTTTCTTGGCTGGGTAGTGGGTAACGCTCATCTGTGGATATATACTCTACTAAATATAAAATATTAAAATCTCTCATCCGAACAAAAAAAATCCTACACATCGAAAACTACCCTGTATAATAAAGTAGTCTGAGAACCTCTGAGTCTGTGTTATATCAGAACTCCGAAGAGAAATGGTTAACAAGGGGAAATTTCAATATAGGTGATGTTTGGTTTCATGCACGTTTATTGAAAATGTTGCCACATCAGCGCCACTAGGTGTTGGCATTAATTGCATATGAAACCATTGTTTGGAGTTCTGTTTCTATCAGGGCAAAGTTGTGCCCACACCGTTCTAACAGCCTTTTTCATTTTTGCATTGAGAATATCTCCTTATGAAATAAAGCACACAAATGGAGATATTCTCAATGCAAAGCAGATCTCCTCGAATCGACTTTGCCATGACTAAAGCCGAACTCTATTGTTTGGTTGTTCCACAATTTATTAAATAAATGTTAAGAAATTAAAATGTTTTGATTTTTGTGCATGGGGCATTTGAAAAAACGTTAAATTTTCATTTTCCTTAATGTCTTAACATTTTTTGAAACAAAATGTTGATGTGGCATGCTTTTATGGGTGTTAATTTGAGGTGGAAATTAAAATACGTTTAAAGTGGTGTTCAATGAAACAAAAAAAGGCAAAAAATGTTTAAAGTGAAAAACATTTAAAGTAAGATAGTTCAGATAGTTTAAACCAATAGAATCAAGCATATAGTTAAGAGGAAATGCAAAGAAGATTCATGTTGAAATATTTGAGATATATTTTTTTGTCCCCATTTGCGATGAAAAGAAAGTCCAATTAGGCTTGTAAACGGAACGAATTTGAATAAAATCAGGTTGGATTTGAATTCGAAACCGATTATGAACACTAATATTCGAATTCGATTCGATATCCGATGGATATAAAATATTTTAGTTCGAATTCGATTTTGATTATCAAATCGAATATTCGATTCGATTCGAATTTGACCGATGGCAGTGGTGGTTGGTGATGATGGCAGTGGTGGTTGGTGAGGCGGTGATGTTGGATTGTTGGCACTCTTGTAGTATTAGCTTGGGTTGTAGTCTTAGGGCTTGCTCATTTCCTCTTAATTCTTTATCTCTTAAGAAGAATCTTTTAATTTTAAGAGAAAATTGGTTGTTTGTTTCCTCTTATCTCTTATCTCTTAAAGCGTAATTATACAATTTTTTGTTTTTCAATGATACCCCCAAAAAGATATAAACTCTCATATGGGTCAAAATGGATATTTGATATTTTTAGAATTCAGAATTAAGAACAATATTCTCTGATTGTTTAGAGGAAAAAAAAGTTCACCAATACCAATATGTAATTATTACACTTTTAGATGTCAAATTTCAGTGCAAACGAACAGGCCCTCAGAGACAAGATTATTGTTACTGACAATGGTAGCGCAACAAAGGAGGGATAGAGGAGAAGATGATGGTTGTCATTGGTGATGGTGGTTTCCATTGAGACTATTGTCACTTGATCGCTGTTACTGACGTTGTTGTTGGTGATGGTGGTTGCTCGGGTGGCTGCGATGCTTAATCGATATTTGAAAGAGGAGAGATAGAGGAGAAGATGATTAGATGAGATATGAGAGAGAACTGAGGAGAGGTAGAGGATGAGGGGCGGTGGCCAGTGACCAGTACTCGACCATTGAGTTGCAGATGTGGCCAGTGTGGTTGCTCGGGCGACGATGGCAAAGGGAGGGTTAGGGTTAGGGTTCGAAAGGAGATGGAGACTTGGAGAGAGATATAGAGGTTCTAATGTTTCATGTTTGCTTGATTCAATGCAAAATGAGAAAACGGAGAATCTCAAGTTTTTTATTTATATTTTTAACCTTCTTTATATATATATATATATATATATATATATATATATATGTATGTGTGTGTGTTTATGTATATATATCGGTTCAGATATTTATTGGATCGGATTAATACATATCTGAATTCGATTCGATAATTTAATTGGTAAGAAATTATTAATCGAATTCAATTTGAATTATCCAAATTCGATTCAAATGTATCGAATTTCGAATTAAAATTTAGATTTTCGAATTCCGTTTTCAGGCCTAAGTCCAATTGATTTGTCGACAGTACTAGTGTCCCATCCGTTCTTCCAGTAAAATCTTCTGGGTCGGTAGTCCACCAGAATGGGCTTTGATGGGTCAATCTCAATTACTTATGCTTAAATGTGGTGGGCCTTGGTATGAATCGGCCCAACCTGACCTTTAGGCAATCTTGTTTACAAAATATGGCTTGCTTTCCCAAATGTTTGGAGGGTCTTTGGTAGGGATGGTTGTTTTTCACAATGCACCAGCAGAAACCCCAGTGTCCTTAAAATTATGCGTCGTTTCTATCAAAAACGTGTTTGGTTGATAACTTGATATACAATACACGCCGATTAGGCATTTAAAATGCTTTGTTTTTTTATTATTAAAAAATGTAATTACCCGAAGACGTATTCTGCTTTTTTACTTTATAATATATTGCATCAGATTCAGAGTGGCGATTCAAAAAATGTCAGAAATGGCCATTTGAGAATTATAACCTCTTTCTGCCTGAAATTTTAGGTGAATCGGTCAGCATTTATACATGAATTGGTATTATTTCCTAACGCAACCATGGATCGAGTTTGCCATGAAAACGGACTGTTTTCTACCGTAACCACACTTTATTATTGGACTTAAAATTCCGCAGTTGGGTCGCCTTGGGCTCAACTCTAGCCCAACCCAATATGTTCGAAGTACTTTGAACCCTTATCCAAGGTTCAAAATATCCATACAGTTTTTCATGCTTTTTTTATTTTTTTCACAATCAATCAATTTAGGGGAGTCGGATTAGGTCTCCTCTATTCTCTGAACCGGTCAGACCTCTGATACACCCACTATAAAAGCGTATTGAAAGGGTCTCGGAACGATATATATCGACCGATATAAGCCAATACTTTGAACCTTGCCCCTATCCCAATCCTACCAGTTAATCCAACCCAATTCAATCAAGGCATCCGCGGATCAATAAACTTGTTTATCGCCTGGACTTGGCATCAATGCAAGTACACAACTACACATACATTTGAAAAGCAAAAACAAATATCGAACTTGATTTTAAAATTAAAGCTGGGCTAACATTTTTTATTACAGCCTCAATCTATTTGCCCCAATGTCACAATCGTATCCTAGATTGGCCCATATTCGAATTGAGCCCAACCCAAATTAAACTCAATTTGAAGTTTTCAAAAGTTATTATTTATTTTTGTCTGCAGCAGTTTTCAACAGTTGATGCGGCATTTATGCAAATGGGTTTCTCGCACTAATTCAATATCAATAGATAAAAAATGTAAAAACAGTAATAAAGTGAATTAGGAATACATCTTTCGCGAGGGTAAAATTAAGGCGGTTTTTGGAACTAATGCCGTTTCATGTTTCATGAGAGGTGTTTCTTTAGAAAACTATGCTGTATAAGCATGCTGTTTTCTTAGAAAACATTTCTTCATGTTTCCTATTTGGCACCATCGCTGTAGCTGCCACATAGGCATTTTTCAATGCCATGTCAGCATAGTGTTGCTACCAATAGTAGGAAAAACATAAAAACACCAAAAAAGGCATTTTCTTATACTACACTTTTCCTGATTTCTAAGGCATGCTCTAGGAAACGTTTTTCGAAAAAATGGTTAACCAAACAGCAGAGATTTTCCCAAAAAATAAATTTATGATGTGCCATTTTGGCATTTTCTGAAGAACAGCATTGATGCCAAACACCAATTAAGTCAAGGAGGTTGTTAATGGAATATGGGGGAAGCAACTGAATTTTTCATAAAAAGTGTACTCCCATTTTTAGGAAAACAATTTGATTGATTAATTTCGGCTGCGTTTGTTTGGGGTGGTTTTTACCCCGGTTCGATTTTCCAAATGTTTGGTAAGCATGTAGTTTTACACCGAAAATCAGTGTAAAACTCCAAATTATCGATGTAAAACTCTTACCCCCGTTCGATTTTCCATATGTTTGGTAAGCATGTAGTTTTACACCGAAAATCAGTGTAAAACTCCAAATTATCGATGTAAAACTC